ATAAAAAATATTGTAACACGAGCCGAACGGTATGCGGATGTCGAATGCGAGTGATCCTTCACTTCGCAGTTAAATTAATAAATTAGACGCATTGGCATTTTAGAAATTGTTACCGTTGCTTTAAGTATTTTTTACATGTTACTTTTTTTAACATAAATAAACCAGCGCTTGACCACGACTCCACCTAACCTAAGTGAAGATGCGGCCGAAGGATAGGGCGTGCTAGTTCAATGAGAGCTGATTCACCTTGCTCTTGAAGGCACCCACGTTACACCATGTGATTGTGCCAAAATTTAGTATACTAATAAAGAACACTATGATTATAAAATCGATATAAAACCATCAGCAGTTATCTTCATTACAATTGTCTCAAATGTATCGTTGAAAGTTAAAAGAGCTTTTATCATTGTCATCGACAGTTAACCTAATCTATAGGCAAATGAGTTAAAAATACAACAAACTTATGTTCTTATAAATCAGATCGCGATGTCGTAAGATACGATTTCTTTCAAAAATGTCATAACGAACTTTTTTTCCATTTCGCGTTAGTTGCGTCGGTTGAAATCGTCTGAAATTTTTGGCTGCATTTTTTCGTGACTTCTTCGGGTCCAATGCGAGTTTGCTCTAGCAGGAAATGATGTTCAGGAATGAGGATATATTCTCGTTAATTTGCTTCATAAATCATCGAGAATGTTGTTTCTGGCGTGTCGCGGAGAGCGGGAGGCGTCGATTGGACCTTTTTGTCGCTGAATTTTAAACATTAAATCGGTGCGTTTCGTATTTCAAAAGTTTTTCGGTCTTTTTTGATTTTTTTTTGTTTCGACAACGAATTACTTGTTTCAGACTTCAAAATGGGAGTTAAGTTTTTCGTTTTGATGTCAAATCGACTTGTATAAAATACTAACAACATAAAATAAACCGATTTGCAAGTATGACCTTTTGTGTCGTCAAGAATATTCGAGTATCTATAAATTTATAAAATACAGAAGTTATCTAAATATTTCGTAAAAAGATGTTAGTCGCGTAGTACTTAGTATTAATTAAAAAATAAGTGAAAATTTTTGAATTACGGAAGAACTTTGCCATCGAATCTGGAAAGTTACTAAGAAATATTCGCACGAAAAGTTATGTTGTTCGGATAATATTATGATTGTTTTGGGAATACGCCAAGTGGTAACCGATCCTATGACTTATTTGACCCCGGGGAGGGCCCGCTCCATGCCGGAACTTCCAGATAGTTCCCATATTAAAACTTGACTTGATTTACGATTCTTCTGCTATGGAAAGAAATGGCTGCTGATTTTATCTGGTCGTGTAAAAAAAATTAACAAAGTAACCTTCCATGACTTACATACTTAAACTTATTAAGACCTCAAAGGTCAAGATTTTTTCGTAGACTATTTATTGTAGACTATTATTCCTTATTGGCAATTCAAAGTAAATTTTATTAATCATAAGTAAATCAGTTCATTAGATATCAAAACTTCCGATTTCCTAAGCGTTTAGAGACGTCATTTCCACAACTAATTAGGCGAAAAGGTCTGTCCTTCAGGAAATGCCTGGCGGTTCAGGGTTCGCGTCCCGTGAGACCCTGCTCATTAGGCGCACACCTGCGCGAGCACGTGGACACTAAAACGTTTTTGTCACCGATGTGTACAGGATTTCACACTTTTCGAGTGTTCTGTAGTTACAAGATGTTAGAAGTGTTTCTTCTTTTCTGGAGGATTTGTAAATAAAGACTTTATAAATAGTTATTGTTGTAGGAATCATTTTTGACTGTTAATTTTTAAGTGTTTTAACATTCATCTATGTCGGTTTTTATGCTTAATAAGGATTTATGTCTCTTTAGTTTTTTGAATCGGACAACAATAATTTCCGGGGGATGCAAATATGATAAGATTTAATTCATGTCTACTTTTATATTATTTTTTTGGATAGCATGTAAAGTTATTATGTTCGTAGATTTCGTGTATCTACATTTTAAGACACCTTGCAGATTCAATAGATCGCACATTGCTTTCGATTACAATAGATCCCTTAAAAACCATTTGTGCCAATCCTTTCCACTCGTCGTTTTTTTCTTCCCATCCTTTATGCACCGACAACACTTGCGCAGGCGATTATTTGACAAGAATCTTTCTCTGAATACTATTTACTTTCTAAAGGTGCTCTATATTTTATATAAGGTAAACGCACCAGATATTGTCATGTAATACAATGAAATTGGAATAAAATGTTCTTATTGGCATAATTAGTACTTATGACAAAATTTAGTCATGGTATTTAATCTATAAAATGCTTTACTTCGATACTTGTTAATTGCACAAAATGTTTAATAAAACGTCAGTATATGTTAATATCTGATTGACTTAATACTTATTATTTCTTGTTATCTAATTCAATGTGTCGTATGAAGTAGTAATAAGCTAATTCTCATTATTAATTAGCAACGATTATATATAAGACTAAAATAAAATTAAAATGTGCATTTTTTGTGTCGCCGATTACTGGTACATTTACCTTACTGGCCAAAGGTGCGTTTACTAGACGGGTTGATTGAAAAGTTGCGTACATATTCCGATTGTGAAAGGACTGTTTATTGATCTAACATCTGCTGCAGCAATATGGCATGTCACTGACAAACGATGAAGTGTCAATGATAAAAGCTGCAATAATATGATATATTCGTCTTATAATCCGACCATTCCGGTCAAAATACATTTGTGACAATTTAGCGTTTTATAGGGCACTTTTTTGTAAAAATAATCCTTAGTAAGTCTAAGGGCCTGTCCCACTAAATTTTAAATTATCTGATAACTAACCAACGTGTAAAATACGTATTGGATATATTGGATTTTGTTACTTTATCTGTAAGTTTGTGACTTAATTGCCACTGTTTGGCTTGAAGAGGCATTTGCAGATTTACCGGACTTGAGGTGGCCGAGCGCTGATGCTGCTTAGCCTAAACCTCGTTTTTAGGTAACTAAGCTTGTGGGCTCCCTCAGGAGCCACGGCACGGACCGTTACCTCGTTATTATTGTATTTTCTTGTTATTATCTGACTGTACACAGTGACGTCATTTTTAAGCTATCTGAGCCTCTATCAGCCAGTGATGGGAAAGCCCTTATTGTTTTGTTTTATTCTTAGTTTATAAGGTCAAGCTACAAGTGTTTGATATGAACCTCCTTTCGCCTTCGGTTTGAAATGAAAAATAAGGGTAATAGTACCGTTTTAAACAATTTTAATCAAGTTAACTTTCTATCAAGGACACTAAATACTTTAACAAAATTTTAACAACTAATTGTCATGTAAATCAAAACTAATCCGTACCTTTTCTTTTATTTAATTAGTCTTGTTTCTACAAAATATTATAAATCATTATTTGTCTTCTAAACAAAGTGCCAAACAAAAGCTTCAAACGACAAAAATTGCTCCAAATATTCCCAATACCTCGTCCTTTATAGATCAGGTAATTATTTTTTGGTTTTAAAAAAAAGTTACTTTATGCAGCTACCCCGGTGAAAGTTTTCTATGGGATCCTCTCATGAACAAACAGACATAATGTATTTTTTACTATATGAGAATTTTGCAAAAAATTGCGCGAACCTTTCTCCGAAATGTCCGTGGGTTTCGACCACAAAAGGGTTTTGGATTTCACATACAGATGGCTTTTTTTTCTACAAATAAATAGAAAAATGTCTTTACTTGATATGTATTTGGTTAGAGTTTTATTTATAGTTTTAATTTAAAAAATGCTCTAACAATTACGACTTTTCCTTATTACGGTGTACTCCTCCATACTCATAAAATATGCGTTAAGTATATCAAATATCTGATATATGTACATATATCTGAGGCAAAATTAAAGTACGTATTTTAAGCTTTTAAGAGAGTTTAGAACTTAGGTTTTTTTTATCTTTACTTTATACTATTATAATAAAGCGTAAACACACACTTCTTTGTTGTCTAAGATGTCAGCAATTACAGCATATTTTTGAATAATTCTTTTTTTAAAAAAAGGCCATTAAACTTAAGGGGTAAATGTTTTGGATAAAAATGCTAATGTGGGAAAGAGACCATATGTTGCTGCCAACATCAAGAAAGAAAGATTGCTAAGGTTTGTCATGTGATTTTGACATTTGCTATTGATAATTTGACAAATGTAAACAATAAAATAATTATAATTTCTTGCGGATGATGCCGCATGGGAACAGCTAGTTAGTTATAATTTTTTTTTCAAAACGCACATATAAATAAAAAATTACAGTGAAGTGTTAACAGACACGAAAATTATGCTTCATGCGGTTTGATGGACGTCGACCTTTAAAGAAATCTTACACGCGATGTGGTTGACTGTTACATGAATTGTATAGCAGTTTTTGAGGTTATGTTTGGTTAATATTGAAGGCTATGATGAAATTTCTTCGGATTTTGTTCTTCATAGGCCTATTGTTTGGCTCTAGCGCTGACTAAAAGTTTCTGTATAATTCTTTAAAATTAACCATTAGTAAAATTACAAGGAAAAAATTTGCCAAAAATAATTAAAAACTCGTTTATTATTCCTCGTGTGTTATAATTAAGTTTAAAAAGATATCAATTTAGATAACATCTTTTGTTTCTTTAAATAGATTGTTTAAAGAATTAAAAAAAAATCTAGCTTACTTAATGTATTCTCTTTGTAATTAATTTGCATGCTGATTTTTTTTGCAGAAAACTTAATTTAAATGGCCATTTGACAAGGACGTGGGTCTATTGTTTAGAAAAAGGGATAAAAACGGCTCACTCGTGTAAGACGGTTTAGTAAACTTTTCTAATAAAATTCGGCTAATTATTTTAATTGACTAATTGTAGAAAAAAGCGTATTAAATTGAGTAAATTATGTATTTATATGAATATTTTTTGATCAGCGTTTTAACACGTTATAATTATTATAAAAAGGATTATATTCAAACTATTTTTCTGTTAATATCTTTGAAAAAACTTGCAATAAAACAACGATAAAAAATTATTACATTTATTTCTTTTCCAATCAATGAAAAATCTTACTTCGTAATTGACATTGGAGAATTATAACTAAAAATGCATTGAAACCTAACAGATACTCCATTCAAATAATGTTTCCATCAGCTGTAGGTAAATTTCACCTTTATACTAATCAGTTTAAGGTCTTTATTTGAATAAAGTTGATTAAAGTTGTCGTCGAGAAAGCTTCGGCTTATGCAAGCTTAATGGACGAAAACTAATTCTTGCAGTTTATTATACCTACATTTATGTTTATTAATTAGTTATAACATTATTAAAATATTTTTTATTCGTTTACTAAATTTTTAACTGCTCTATTTCTTTTCTTGTTAGCAAAAAAATACAAATTAAAGTTTTCTTTTTGAGGTTATAATTATACTCGTATTATAAAGATTGAAAAGATTGGTATAATAATGCTGCAAGAATACTTTAAGTTAAAACTATAGTATTATTCTGATACTTATTTTCTAGTACATTCTAAAAACTACGATTAAAAGATTCTCCAATACTTAATACATAAATTATATCCTTTTTTTTTAGTAGTATCATTTAAACTTTGTTACAAAACATTTGATAATAGACAATGTATTAAATTAAATATTGAGCAATGATTATGTGTGCAAGAAAATGGCAAAAAATCTTAAAATTAGCAGCCTTTGCAAATCTATATTAATTAAATTACAAAATGTATTTTGCGTAAATGTTTTTTATTTAGTGTTATTAGCATTAAACTATTTGTATTGATTTTTAATTTACATATTAGGAAATATTATGTAACTACTATATGTGGCTATGACATTACACGTGTCTCGTAATTCTTCTTACAAAAAAGATTTTGTGAATTATACAAAAAATATCGTTTCAACATTTTTTGACAGTTCGAAAACAGAAGCACAGTTAAAAAAGGACTTCTTTTACGAGTTTAACACTATTTTAAAATTAAAAATTATAATCTACAAATACAAATCGTAATCCATTCCTGTACTACCGCTCAGATAATCGTAGAAGTAAGCGGCCATTTCGTCCAGAGCTTCGAATCTTGGGTCGGGCAGTGCGTCATCGCGGACTGATCTAGCCGATCTGGAAATGAATCTAGAAAGATATGATATAAAATGATAGTTTCTACCATTAAAGACGCAAGTTCATAAATCTATCAAGTGATTACTTCGTTGTCCAGTATTTTTATAATAAGAACGAACTAGTGCATAATTCTTACATGATAATGTTGCATGGCTTTACAAATAACTTGACTATTTGTAAATCTTACTTCTTACTAACATTATAAATGTGAAAGTTTAGATGGATGGATGGATGGATGGATGTTTGTTAGAGTTTGTAGCCAAAACTGCTGAACGCATATCAATAAAATTTGGCATGAATTTAGAGGATAGCCTGGAAGAACATATAGGCTACTTGGTT